TATAATATCTTGCAATATATCAAATATCAAATTTATCCACAAAATACATCTGAGATAGATAAAAGAACATTATGAAGAATGGCTGCCGGACACATTCTCGATGGAGAGACTTTGTATAGAAGAGGCAGTGATCAAGTGTAAATACTAGAGAAGCAAGAAGTATTATTGAGGAGGTACATAATGGGATACATGGAACATATGCAAACGATCTTTATATGGCTAGAAAGATAATGAGATATGGGTATTATTGGGATACTATGCATACAAATTATATTGATTATGCAAGAAGATGTCATAAATGTCAAATATACACAGACAAGATTCATGCACCTCCATCACCCTTACATGTGATGACACCACCATGGCCATTTTTTATGTGGGGAATAAACATCATTAGGGCAATCACACCAAAAGCATCAAATGGGCATCATTTCATCCTGGTGGCAATCGACTATTTCACTAAATGGGTTGAAGCTTCCTCATATGCCAATATAAAGAGGTCTACAGTTTGTAAATTTATAAAGAAAGAAATAATTTTCTGGTGTGGGCTACCAGAGAGAATCAATACGGATAATGCTATGAACTTGAACAATAAAATGATGACTGAACTTTGCGTACAGTTAAAGTAAAGCATGCAAACTCAGTGACTTATCGCCCAATGATGAATGAGGCAATTGAAACAGCTAATAAGAACATTAAGAGGATCATTACAAAGACCACTGAAACTTATAAGGATTGGCATGAGAAGTTACCCTTTGCCCTATATGCATATCGAACTACAGTGCGAACGTCTACTGGGGCAACACATGTTTCTTTAGTTTATGGGATGAAAGCAGTCTTACCGATTGAAGTTGAGATCTCATCACTTCGAATCTTGAAGGAGGTAAAATTGGATGAAGTTGAATGGGTCCAAGCTCGATTTGATCAATTGAATCTTATCGAGGAGAATATATTAAAAGCTATTTTCCATGGACTGATGTATCAGAAACGGATGATAAAGGCTCATAACAAGAAAGTGTATCCGAGAGAGTTCCAAGAGTGTGATCTAGTGCTTAAGAAGATCTTTCCTATACAAAAAAATTTCCGTGGGAAATTGATGCCTAATTGGGAAGAGCCATATATTGTTAAAAAGGTCTTTTCTGGAGGAGCATTGATTTTGGTAGAAATGGATGAAGAAGTTCTGAGAAACCCAATAAATTCATATTCTGTCAAGAAATATTATGCTTGAAGAAAAGGAAAAAAGAAAAAAAGAAAGAAAAAAAGAGAAAATAAAAAAGGGGATCTTGCAACCAAAGAAGGATTTGAGTTGAAAACCTGGAAGGGAAGCTCAAATACATGTTGATATTAGGCATCTGACAATTAAACCCTCTCGAGAGCCTGATATTTGGGGAAAAACTTCAGGTCTACAAACATTCTGGCAATGTTTGAGATCTTCCAAACATAAGCTTACCTCAGTGCTCTAAATTATATCAAGTTGATTGGTTCAAAAATACTCATGCTAATGATTGTTAGGTCATCTGACTCTTATTTCTATATTTGTTTCATTCCTATGATTGCCATGACTTTGAAAAAATTTCCATATCTTTATCAATAAGTTCCAAGTTCATCTTTTCGAGCTTCAATTTTATTCTTTTATAAGCAACTTATAAGTGGATTAACATAATCTCAAGATAAGAAAAAGATTTCTGGCTATCATTTTAAATTAATACTTTTGAGTGCATGGAATCCAAAGTAAATCCCAATGTCAACACTTGCAATCGTTGTTAAAAAGTGTGCAAGTTTTTGCCACCATAGAGTCATTTGGAGGCAATTAAAGAAGAAAAGCAACAAAAGAAATTTTCAGCAAAGAGAAACTGACAGAGTGCTTTGGGAAAAGAGATCTAAAGTAAAGAGTCTAGGAAAAGAGTAAGTCAAATCCAAGGGAAGAGCAAAGATGAAATCCTAGCAAAGATAAAGACTCAGCAAAGGGAATGAAACATCAATTAATAAAGGAGCTCAAAATTTTAAATCTATACCATGCATCCATATTTAGGCATTTGCAGAAATATGAGCATTTACATTCATTTTATCAATGTTGAATATTTGACAGGAATTCCAAAATTAGCAAAGATTTCAGCAAAGAATTAGTCTACTTTTAATATTTGAAAACATGGATTTCAGCAAAGATTCGACTCCATCACAGAAGGAGATGAATCAACATTTCCAATGAAAGAGTTCATAATGAGAAGAAATCTATCGCAGAAGGAGATAGATTAGCATCAACATTTCCAGTGGAGAGTTCATAATGAGAAGAACTCATCCAATGAGGGAGAAGAAGTTCATAATGAGAAGAACTTGTTCAACCTTAGTTCGATTAATCACATATGGAGTCGAATCAGTGACACTTCACTCGAGGAATCAATATTTCCAATGGAGAGTTCAAAATAAGAAGAACTCGTCCGAAGAGGAAGAAGAAGTTCATAATGAGAAGAACTTGTTCAACATTTCCATCTTAATAAAGATAAGTCAACTGGACAAAAACTTATTGTCTTTTCGTCTTTTCCCTATTCTTGTTAACATAAGAATGAACAAAGAGGGGTAGCTATCGACACTAGTTTTTGTCACAATCCTATTATTATTATTATTACAAATAATACAACAAAAATGAAGGCTCAAATACAATAAACCAGAGCCCATTTACAAATCAATCCCTGAGGCCCAACAGAACCCAATCCATGCCCAAATGACCCAAACCCAATTAGGGTTTTCATCATCTTCTCCAGCCATCGTAGATCTCAATCGTTGGATCTGGATAGATCCAATGATCCAGATAATTTCAACAGAAACCTTAGGGTTTCATTACAACCCTAGGGCTATTCTGGCCGCCGCCTTAGGTTGATGATGAGATCGCCGTCGCCGCTGCCATGTGTTCCACTCAGACATCGCCACGAAGATATCGTCGTTGAAGATCACCAGTCGAGATCGAAGAAGATCTGGGTGCATTTAATGCACCCAACTTACTCACCGGACACCTCACTGCCCCTATGTGAGTCACCGCCATAGCCTTGGTGACTCACGGGGGTACCCCTCTTTAACCGGTCCGAACGGTATAACATGGGGGCCTATAAAAGGCCATCGAACCTGTAAGAAAAGGGGAAGAAAAAAACAACAAGAAAGAGGAATACACAGCAACCCAAAACCTGCGAAAAATATAGAAAAATATAGAGGAGAGATCATGAGAGTCTTATCGTCGTCAAAGCTTCCACGCATCATCGGAGAAGTCAAGACATCGAAGGTAAAAATTTAGATCTACGTCGATATATAGGTGTTTAGGGGAAAAGGTTGCCGGATTCGGCTTTAGGACAGGGAGAGCTTCGATTTTGGGTATTTTGATATTTTTTGGCCACCATGAACTGTGGCCGGTGACGGCGTACGAGGGTCAGCTGGTTAAGGGTATATTTATACCCTCCCAGAAACTACGTCATTTTGGGGATGGACCTCTATGTAATTTACTAATGGGTAAACCTCGTCCGCAGTCCCTGTGAATTTTGTAATCTTCTATTTTGGTCACGAAATCAAGTTTCTGTGCATCTCAATTTGGCTTTCAGATTTTATTTTATTACATTTTAATCCCTATCAATATATTTTTATATTTAGGGTAAAATATCCATTTTAATCCCTTAAATTTTAATAAATTACATTTTAGTCCTGAATAATTAATTATGGTTAAAACACACTTTCAGTACCTAGTCTTTTATAATAATTCGAATTATGACCATAAGTTTTATTATTTTTCAATTTAATCTCTTAATTTTAATACTTTTAATTTTTAATATTACTATTAGTTTATTTACACATTTAATACCACAAATATGATTTATTTACAATATTGGTCTTGATCTTTTATACTTTCATGTTTTCATCATTAAAATTATAATATGTAATCGGGTCATATTATTTTATACAATGAATCATAAAATATCTCCTTAACTTATTAGGAAGGTATTTTAAATGATTATTGGTATAAAATAATATCCATAGTATTTGTTAAAGGGATCATAAATTAAATTAAATTCAAATTTGTAAATTTTTACTGCAAAAATTTTAATTAATAAACAAAGATACCATTTTTTGGCGTTGTGGGGTGCTAATCCTTCCCCACAGGTAACCGACTCCCGAACTCATTTTCTGGTAAGCAGACCCTTTTTGTGTTGTTTTAATATTATTTTTATAAATTTTATTAAAATAACATATCATTTTTGGTGACCAATCACATCTCGATAAATTATTGGTGACGACTCCTCAAATTGTGTTTTATCTTATGCGAGAAGAAAACATTTACTTTTTCGAGATGAAATTTAAAAAATAACGACATTTGTTTTAACCGGGCAAATACCGTCTCGACAGTTTGTATAAAAATATCGTAATAGGGTTAATCTATTATGGCATTTTTTCAACAAATGCCGCAACAGAGTAATACTTTAGCGGCGTTTGTATAAAACGCCGCAATAGGTTCATCCATAGTGACGTTTCTCAACAATCGTCATGATAGAGTAGTATTTTAGCAACGTTTTATTAAAAACACCGCAATAAAGTTCATCTATAGTGGCTTTTTTTCAATAAACACCGCAAAAGAGTAGTACTTTAGTGGCGCTTTTATACAAATGTCACAATAGGATTCATCTATAGTGGTATTTTTTCAACAAATGTCTCAATAAAGTAGTACTTTAGCGGGATTTTTATACAAATGCCACAATAGGGTTCATATATAGTGGCGTTTTATAACAAACGCCACAACAAAGTTGTTCTTTAGCGACATTTTTTTCCAAACGCCTTTGTGGCATATTGGTTCAAAAACGCCGCAAATTTTAAAAGTAAAAGTTTTATCTCCCTTCAACTCGATCTAACCTTTTATTTTCCCTAACCTTTTCTGTTTTCCGCTGATCTCACCTTTTATTTTCCCCAACCTTTTCTGCTTCCCTAACCTTTTCGGTCCCTATTTGCTTCAGTCCCTTCACCGTTTGCTGTTTGTTGTTTGCTGTTTGGTGGCAAATCCACTCCTTTTTCCCTTCCTTTAAGGATGATTCTAGGTTTTCTCAACGCGGCTCCAGGATCTCTCTTTTCGTGCTCATTCTTGTCGCCATTGCCGGATTGATCTCCATTTTTTGGATCTTGCATCGATTAGTAAGAGAGCGGTTGAATTTAGGTGAAGAACTTCAGGGCTGATGAGCTGATTGAATTTTAAAAGGTAAATCTTCATAAAGCTTATTTGTTGTGCTCACCTGTGAAGTTGTTTTATTAAGCAATCAGTATCTTGGTACTTCTGTCTGTACCTTCTGCACTTGTTTCTCCTAATTTTTAGATAGGATTTGACTAATTTCAATGGAGGGTTATACTAAATATGTTCTACTAACACGTAACAGTCAGATTTGAAGTTGAAGAAGTTCTTGCACATTATTGAGAATTCAAGTGTGTTCCCTGTCATTTATGACCGCAACAGGTATGTGTGTTCTTGGTAATGTGCATCTGATTATTAGTTTTAACCTTTGTGTTTAGCAATAAATTTCACTTTAACTTAATGCTGCTTAACCTTCTGCCTATATTTGCTCCTTTTCAAGTGTGTATTTGTACAACATGTATTGTTAGGTTTAAAAATACTGAAATGCACCTGGATGACCTTTCTGTTTTTCTTGTCTTTATATAGAATTGTTTTGTCTTTACCGCCAATTATTAATGGTGCACACTCAGCAATCACTTTGAAGACAAAAAATGTCTTCAGTGAGTGCACAACAACCGATCTAACAAAGGCTAAAATTGTTTTAAATACAATGGTAAGGAGTTGAGTACTGTTAGCTTTTGTCCTTACCTTTATAAGTGGGGGTAAGAACAAACATTTCCTTCTATCTACTGGTGACCACTTTTTCGACCTACTGTAAAAGGAAATTTGAGGTGGAACCAATTGAAGTCATATCATTTGATGGAAACTCAAGTGTTTATCCAGATTTATCAGAATATAATATGGAAGTTCCACTATCATATATTATTGGTTCCATTGGAGTTCCTCTGGAAGCAGATGAGGTAATGCTTTCATTTTCTTTATGTCTCTTATTTCTTTGTTATTTTTTGTGTCTCTTATTTCTTTGTTATTTTTTATGTTATCCATATAGTGAAAATGATTGTTTAATGGAGTTCCACTCGTGTTCGTCTGTTTTGATATTTCTATATGTTGTAAATTGGTATAGTTGTCTGAGTTTGTTCACTGAACTGCTCACTTATATAAAGGTGAGGAAGAGCATTGAGTGAGGTTACATTAGTCTGATATGGTAATGGTTATAGTGTCATGTATTTGTTTGTTCTGATGGCATCATTGGTGGCATTCTATTGTTAACATTGTTCAGTTTATATAGTTTAATAACCTGCATGTTGTAGCTATTCTTAATATGTTCTTCCATTGTTGTCGCTAAACAGGTCATTAATCTATTAAAACGAATGCAATTTAATGCTGAAAGAGCTGGATCAGGTACCTCCTATATCAGTGTGTTTGTACCTCCAACCAGAAGTGACATTCTTCACCCATGTGATGTTATGGAAATAATGATCGAAGGAATAATATTTCACGGATGCATTTTTGAAGGGGAGGTTATTGGGCTCCTCCCTTGTGGGTTTCTGTTAATGAGGCTCTTTATTCTTGTTCAGGATGTTGCAATTGCTTATGGCTATAATAATATACCAAAGAGAAAGCTTTCATCTTTGAAGCCCCTCCCCTTGAACCAGCTCAGTGATCTTATAAAATCTGAGGTGCATGAATACACTGAAGTAGTCTTTTTTTATTGTAAATTTTTTCTATGCTCTAATTGAGGTTCTTTTTAGATATCCATGAATGGCTTTACGGAGGTGTTGACATGGATTTTATGTTCTAAGAAAGAAAATTTTGAGATGTTAAATCGGAAGGATGACAAATCTACTGCGTTGATCATTGGAAATCCCCGCTCTTCTGATTTTGAAGTTTGTATTTTCATTTTAGAAATATATGTATAAGATTATTTCAACATTCCAGCTTTCTGGGTTCCTCCTTACCGTGTCTGTTCCAGAACTGTAATTTTAGACCGCTTGAGAACTAGTATTAGTTTTTCCTATAAAAAAGAAAGAACTAGTATTAGTTTTTATGATTTTGTTCAACCTGTTTTTGTCAAGACTTCTTGAAATATTGTGCATGGCCTTATTTTCTACAATCAAATTTATTTTTTAAATGACTGGTACTTAAAAATCGAACAGACAATTGAGGAGCCCATTGTTGCTCTCTATAGATAAGTGTTCAACATTTGGTTCATTTGAAGGATGAGAAGGAAAAGGACAAGAAAAAGAAATATGAATATTAGCTGTTCAATGTTTTTACTGGAAGCCTTTTATTGGAACTCCTAATTGAAGATTGCTTATTCTGTTTGCATAGGTGCTTCGTGCAAGTCTTATGTCTGGCATGCTAAAGACCGCTGGACATAACAAAGACCATCCAAAGCCCATAAAGGTACAATTTTGGTTTTGAATTGTTCAGGTTGAAACACTCTCAGAATATAGCGTTATGGATTTACTTTTTTGAATTGTGGCACCTTCTCTAATATGTGTTTTTTTTCTGTTGCACATCTTTCATTGGAAGATGGTCCCTTCTGGTTAAAAGCCCTTGGACTTCTGTTCTGTTGGCATCATTCTTTCTTTGGAAAGACTGATATCGGTATATGGAGGGGGACATATTTGTAGATGTTCTTATGTTAGTTGAAGAGCTATTTCATTGAGAGTGTCAGTCTAATACATTCCATGTCTCCCCCTCTTCCAACAGGTGTTCAATAATGAACATGGGAATGCAAAAATGTTTCTGTCTATTATTTTACTATTATTCACTTGTTATGCTTCTCAAGTTTGAATTCATTCATCTTAATTTACGAGTATACGGTCACTCTGGGTTTATATTTTGCTCTTTTTTTTGGAAACTTTCACATGTCCAGATTTATGAAGTGGGTGATGTAGTACTTTTGGATGAAAAGAAAGATGTTGGTGCATCAAACCGTCGCCTACTTGCTGCTTTATATTGCGGTGCTAACTCGGGTTTTGAGGTAAGATTTCCTTATTATGCCCACCTGTTTTTGAATTTGATGACTTCGTGCATTGATTTGTTGTAGTCTTCAATGGTCAGTTTTTGTTTCTGTAAAGACTGAAAATTTCTTTATGAAGTTGTTTATTGTAATCTTCAAATGATCAGAAGTGACTTTCTGTTCACTTGACAGGTCATCCAACCTGGAGAAGTTGATGGTTTGTGGTTAAAAATCTTTTTTTGCTCTGTTCTAAAACCCTGGTTAATTGTGCATTGTTTTTGAAGTTTGGTTTTATTACATGATGTAGTACATATCTTATCATGCTTTTACTTTTAGTTTATCTTCTTGTAATATATTGTCTCTGAATCCATTGTTTTCATTATTGTTTGAATTGAAGGTATATTCTTGATGAAAAGAATCAACTGAAGTTGCAGATCAATACAAATTGCCACTAGAAGATTGTTTTTTATTCTAGTGAACATTGTTTTTTTTTAATTGAAAGAGAAAGAACTTAGACTAACTTCTAGTTAACAATGTTGAACTATGTTACATTTTAATTTAATTTCATAAATTTTGATTTATTTTTCTACATAATTTGTGTCGTACTTAATTTTTTTAAGTTTATTGTTATTAGATAATGCTATTTAATATTAAATTTGCGTAATATAAAGTAGAAAATGATATATGCGAAATCGGTTAACTATAGTGGCGTTTGAAAATAAAAGCCACCAAAAGTCAGGTTCTTTTACTGCGTTTTGTGAAGGAAACGCCACTAATGACCACACATTTGCGATGTTTATAAAAAAATGCCTCATATTCATAGTTAATAGTGATGTTTTTACCACAAACGCCGATAATTATCATAACATGTATCGGCGTTTTAGAAAACAAACGCCACTAAAGACAAGGTAATTAGCGACGTTTTTGAGAAAACGCCGCTATAGATCTTGACCTTTTGCGGCGTTTTATGTTCACAAACGCTGCTATTTTTTGCGGAGTTAGTTTTAGCGGCGCTTCTTGCGGTGTTTTTATATTCGTCGGGAATGTTTTTAGCGGCGCTGAAAAACGTTGCCGCTAAAAACCTATATTGCTGTAGTTGGTGAGCCAAATAAAGTTTCTAAAATGTTGGGGACCATCAAAATGCCAAGCTAAGTTCAGCAAATTATTTTTCAGATCCTAACCATCCCGATGGAGAGCGTTATAACCGATTTTCACAGTGCATTGTCTGGATGGATCCCAGAGCCAAGTTGGTTTGTCAACATCTAGATCATTTTTTTGGTGGGGGAAAATCGATGATATCACGAAGGATATCCTCCTCCACAATCGCCTTTAACTTTTCCAAATCCTCATTCCCATTAGCGTTAGTGAAATCGCAGACCGTAGCTTTCGGGTCAACATTCTGGTCATCCTTGATTCTCTACACAATCGATCGTTTTCCCGGGATCCAAGCATCGGTCCAAAAATTTATGTTAAGTCCATTTCCAATGGACCAACACATATTCTCACGGATAAAGCACCAAACTTTGGCAAGGGAACGCCACACAAAAGAGTCGTTCCTCGAGTTAAGATCGTTTGGGATATGCGAGATGATTTTATACTTGGACCGACAGATCTTCACCCAAAGAGCATCTGAATTCGTTAGGAAAATTTACCCCAAGTTAATGAGAAAAACTTCATTTTGAACATTGATAAGGCGTATACCAAGGCCTTCAAGTGTAGTGGGCTGGCAGCACGACTTCCAATTAATGAGAGCCATCTTAGGATGTTCATTTGTACCATCCCAGATAAGACAAAGATCAATTATTTCAATTTTTCCACACACACATTTGGGTGCAATACCCAAAATTTGATTAGTGACTAAAATGCAACTTTTAAAAGTTTAGTGGCTAAAGTAGAAACTTGGAAAAGTTTAGGGATCAAAAGTGTAAATTTTAAAAGTTTTATATTTTGAACCCGTAAATGAATAGTTTATCCGTAACAATGGATCCTATATGAAATTCAGATTTTGATATGGAATTTGTGTAAAGAGCTATTAAGCAATAAAGTTTAGTAAAGTATTCGAATAATAGGATCAAATAAAAAGTTAAAAAAAATTGAGAGATGATAGTATAAGGTTAGAAATATTATATCAATATTTTTAATTAGTATAATTTGATGTGGATTGGTGGAGTTAAGTGGATTTTTCCATTTTTAAGTGAAATAGTGATTTTTAGTGACTAAATTGAAAATTTGAAAAAATTAAAAGGGTAAAACGAAGAGTGAATTATATTTGTTCATCTTTGACTTTTTGATTATTAAAATAGAAGATATTGTGGTGGCAAGCAGTAATTCTCATAATTTTTAAAGGATAAAGTTGTGATTATATATTAAAGAAATTTTATATTCATTTAATAAATATTTTGACATGTGTACATGATAGAAAAATGATCCATATTAAATTTTCTATCATTTGGTAATAATATTTCATTGTTTTCATGCTTGAATCATTGGTTTGATTGCTAGAATAAATAATGAACAAGTTGAATTTTGATGATTTATGCATAGATATTTGTGTTATTAATGTCGTAGATTTGTTTTCAAGTGTATATAATGATCAAATTTTCATAGAAATACTTATATACTACTCGACCATGGTTAATTTTCACGAGAAATTGTTGAAATTGGATTGTTGTTAATATGGAAATGATTGAAATTACAAGGAAATGTTGTTAAGAAGATGAAATCATTCTTGAATCAAGTTGAAAAAGCAAGTTAAATATACTTGTTTAATTCGGCCAAAGGGAACCTAAGGGAAAAATATAAAGAAAAATAGTGGAAAAATTATACAAGGTTTAGAAATGATGTATGAGTAATTCTACATGCTTAGAATGTGATTTGGATCAATTTGGAATATTGTGAAAGTATAGGGGCTTAATTACATAAATTGAGAAATATGGAGATTAATTTGTAATTATTTAAGAAATTGATATGTTATGCTGGAATTAGAATGTTGATTTGGATTATATTAGAAGTTTGTGAAAGTTTAAGGAGTTATTCAAAAAGTTTTGGGAAAACGAGAATTTAAGTGTAATTGTTTAATAATTGGAGTATTATGATGGAATTTTAATGTTAGAATGTTGAATTTGAGATTAGAATATGTCATTAGACTAAATTGGAAAGTTGTTAAGTATGAGGACCAAATCATAAATATGGAAAAGATAGGAAGTCAAATAACAACTTTGAAATAATTGAAGTATTGTGTTTAAATTTAAATGCTGGAAACTTTGGTCATAAAAATTAAAGCTTGAATTAAAGTTAAAATGTAAAATTGTTAAGATTGAGAACAAAATTACAAATTTGTATAAGTTGTGGGTTTGAAACGAAAAATGGGTATAAGTTAATGAGTAGAAATTGAACATGTTATTTGAATATTTGAATTTGTTTTATGATGATTGAATTTAGGAGTAAATAGCAAAAAAAGGACTATATTGAAATACAATAGAAAGATTGAGTTGAAATTCTAAAAGAATTTACCTTTTAGTTAAAATTTTGGTATTATGAATTTAGAATTAAATTTAAATGGTTATAAGAGTGTAATGGTTAAGTGTAAAAATAGAAAAAGGTTCTTAAATTGTAAATATTCATTTGTTTAGGTACTCTATTGAAGTTAAATATTAAAATGTTGGAATGTTGATTTGGGTTAATTTGTAAAATTTATTAAAATTGGAGATCAAAATGTAAATTGAATAAATTGAAGGTTACTGAATGAATCTGAAAGTGATTAAAATATAAATAATAGAATGATGATTCTGATATTAAAATATTAAAGTAGGATTGATTTGGAAATACGTATAAATTAAAAAGCTAAACTATAAATATGAAGTAATTATGGGTTAAAATAGAAATTGAATATAAGATAATGTGTGAAAATTTAAAGTGAATATCAAGGGACTATTTAGAATATTTTTAAAATATTAGATTATCTTTGAAAAAAGTTTATTAGTGGATATAATGTGAAATGTTGAATAGCTAAGTAAATAGCTGTAAGAATAATTATTTAAGTGACTTGAAAAATTAATTCGATAGAATTGAAGTTAGTTTTTGATTTGATAAAGAGTTTAATATTGAATATGCATTAATGATATTTTGAGAATATTTATACGAATATAAATTTATTAGTACAAGATTAAAATAATATAAAAACTTGATAATCTTCCTATATATGTTTTATATGAAAATGATATAATATTTAAATAAAAGTCCAGTGTATAGACTTAAGTCATTGGTACACGGGATAAAGTGATTATTGACTA